TTTTGATATCTTTTACGTTAGACCCCGAGTGGAGGGTCATTGTATTCCGAAGTACGGAAGTCATTGTATATAAAGAAAAATAAAGGGTTTTGTATACCCTTCGTCTGTATCCTGTCTACTTACTACAATTAGTGAACATAGCTTTAGTAAGCTCTCTGTTCTAGTCAGGTCATTGTATGTTTCCGAAGAAGGTTAGAAGAAACATTGAACCTGATAAGCTTTAAATATATGTGACGTAAGTAAAGCACGATTTTTCCTGGTCGTAAATATATGCCCATAGCGTATTGTTACATGTCGGAAGGAAACTTATACGCTACAACCTATGCTATTCAACATACATTCTTCAATATACTATGGTTTGGTTTATTTAATTATGGCAAAGCACTCGAGGGCTATCTGCCTAAAGGGAGTGCTGCCTTGGAAGAATTTCTAAGGGAGGCTTGCTCGTATATACACGTTACACATGGGGAAAATCATGAAAACGCCCATGCAGCCAGTCCCAGGATTCGAAACCCGGACCAAACTATCAGTGTTGATGACTTTACCGCTTGGCCACTCAATATATTATGAACTGTACCTTAAAAATGTAGTAAAATTATACTACTAAGTTGACCTTTATCATCATACGAGCGTTCTTGAGGTACAAAACTTGACTATATTTTTATGTAGTAAACATTTCCATACAGGTTTAATGCACGTAATCAACTGGTAGCCTTTTCTGGGGAAAAAAAACGAATTGTGGAGATTAAAAGGCTTGTTCTTATGCATCAGTGTCGTGCGATGCTACCTTTTAGTACAAAGACTGAAAATTAGTCCAAAGAGTAACATATCATTTTGTTTTTATCATTTCACTCTGCAGCCACATCATAAAAAATTTCCTTGAAACTGTTTAACATTTCACGAACTAAAATATTTCTAAATGACAACAGTTCTTGAGTAAATCTAAACTGTTTATTGAATAACCAATATAGCTATAGATTTTCCTTAAAATTTCATTCTAGCGTATAGTAGATCGACTACATTCTTTCTAAGAAGTTATTCAAAATATGAAAGGGTACTGTAAGATGTAGGTCTTCATTTCTTCTGACAAGCATTAGTTTACCAGTGCTCATGTGGCTAAAACTGTTTTGTTATGTTATCAATTCTTTTTCATCTCAAAATGAGATAATTTCAGTTTTGAGGCTTTGAACATAGTGTTTCCCCTCTTAAAAAACTTTACCCATAAAAGCATCACATCATTGACAGAATGTCCTCATATGCTTTACATAAAAAATATAAATAAATTAAATAAATCTTTTGAAATGCAAACGTGAATTGAAACAGAGAACGTTTCGTTTCCGTTAATTTGCTTTATAAGGTATTTCTCCCCTTTCTTATCATGGTTTCGTGGTGTAGTGGTCAGCACACTCGGTGCGTATTTGAGAGGTCCAAGGTTCGAGTCCCAGCATTGTTCATTTTTCATGTCTCCTGCTTTGAAATAATCTAATACCTCTGCAACTTAAGATGATAATATGAAAAGTAATAGTAAAGAGTTATGAAGCTTTAGAATATAAATTGAGCAATTATTTCGATTCATAGAGAAATAATTTTTTATAACAAAACTTTATTTTAAAACCTCAGTGTGTATGTAATAAGGATTTCTTCTAAAATTTCTAAATTTTTGAAAATGTCTTAAAACTATTACAGACATGTGACTTTGATTTAAAAAAAAAAAAAAAAAAAAAAAAAAAAACAACTTATGTTTCAAAACTCCAATAAGTGCAATGAGAAAGAAATGTTGCTTATTCAGAAATTTTTTATATATATTTTTAATCTCTTTGTCCAGTTTTTCGATAGAAGAAATTATTAAAACTTAAGAATCATATTATTGAATGTGAAATAGTTTTGCTAGTAAAGGCTAAATTATTTTTAAGCTAAGGATATTTTTTTCTTGCATCTAAAATGTACTAATGACAATAAAATTTCTGGTCCTACTATCACATGCTTTCTAATTATCCATTTCAATTATTTGATGTGAATTAGCATCCTAGTACTATTTCGTAAAGTATAGTAAATTTTAAATTTAACGATAAAATAAATATTTATATAAATGTATATATAAATAAATATAAATATATATATAAATTTACTAGCATCTAATCATCTGCTTGTAAAACAAGCAGGAGTTCAGTGCACTTATTAAAATTCTTTGATATGCACAATCACTGAAAACACTCTTTTTTCTTAGAAATATTCTTGCTAATATTAACTGTATATGTTGCTTATTCGAGAAGATGGTTAATTAAGATTCAGAAATGGAGATCAACTCACTGAATATTGACTCCACACGAATTATAGAAAAATGTAACTGGAGCCTAAGTTTGGCAGCCACAACGCCCAAGATAGCCCATTGTTGACACTTTCAGCTTTTAACGAACTGAGATTTGAACAACATCTTTTCATAAGAGACTCATACTGTAAATTATTCGTCCAGTTTCTACGACAGTGTTTAAACGCAATTATTCTACAAAGAAAATTTCAATGTCTTTGCTGCATGTTTTAGGATGTGATTTATTCTAAGTTATATATTTAAAATTAATACTGCGTTTGAAGTTTTCAATTTCCGAAGTAATAGTTTAGTCACATTATTTGGGATGATTTTCTAAAAAAACCTTAATGACAAGTGAATAAAACTGTTAACAACTCATAGCTTCTTCTCTTCTCAGTTCTTGGCTGTAACATTTTATTGAATAAACATTTCAGTATTTTTCACCTCAAATAATATAAATATTCTTAATAATGCAGTAACGCAGTGTCTCTAAGAAAGCTGCAAAAGAAAAATATTTTTCCCATGGCAGATATCCCACGTATGCTTTGCCGGAATAAATTAATCAATAATCCAGCATCAACTTCCTTTCTTCAAAACAAATTTTATTTATTCTGCAAGAAATACTCTAAACTCTCTAACTACAATAAATAAAGGGCTTAATAGCTTTTATTCTAAGCTCGTACGTTTTAAAGTTACACCTATCGTACTTTTCAAATTGCTGATTTAAAATTCAGCGGTCGTGAAATCTTACATGCTGAGAACATGATCCTCGAAAGATTAGAATAATTCCATAAAATTACAACTAATTTTAAAAATAACATTTAAGCTGGGAATTCTCAGCTTATAATCATTTCATGACTTCCTTTTGCAATAAAAATAAAATTTTTCACTTTGTTTCCTTGCTAAGATAGTAGTCATCTTCCTTCAAGTTAGAAATCCATTTTCTGAAAATAAAATACAAAATTCACAGATAATTTATAAATGATTAAAATTTGTAGAATCCCATTTTTTTCTTCCTTTTATCAGTTTCCTCTTTTTGAAGTAGATTTCTTTATCCGCCTCTTTCACACGCCACCGAGTTTCATATAGCTTGAGGGCTTTTGTCTGCGATTTCTAAGTATAGTTGATGCTCTCGAGTTACTTTTTGCCATTAATTGTTATCTTTCGCGAATCATTTAGATCTTTCAAGCAAGGAGATTACCTGCAAAGTGTATCTTTGCTGAAGAGTTAAGTACGTGTATGAAAATCAATAATGTTTATTTTATGTTCGTTCCATAAATAAAACACAAATTTCCCACAAGCACACATTCCTTTTGTTCCGACTTTTTTTAAAAGCTGAGAACATGATTCTTGTAATCTTGAAATGTAATGGCAAGGAAATAAAGTGAATTCAGTGAAGAAATGAAAAGCATTTTGCATTACTTTACGTATTCTAGTGTCTTTCCTGAACAACCAAAAAGCTAATTTCCATTTCGAATCTTTCTTGCTTGTACAAGAAATGTTTCAAAATTTCACGCTACGATTAAAATATTTTGCTTTAATTTTTCGGTTTTAGTGAGTTTGCAGTCATTTAGATGTAACTGAGTTCACTTCTGTAATGGAATACACTTTTATAGTGGAGACGCGGGACATAATTATAGAAAAATGGCGATTTCTATAGGCTTACAGCAATTTATGTATAACTTTGAAGATTCCAAGTTATTAAATACCGACACTTGAAAAGAGCTTTTTTCAATGCATTTACTTTGTGATATGTGTAATGAAACATGTTTCATCAACAGCCTTCTATATTCTTTTTTAACCTCCAGTCAAATCTAAAAAATCTCTTAGATGCTTCTTAATTTCAGTATTTTCGCCTGTTATGCACGTAATACATGTTAATAACTATCTGTCTTTTCAAATTCACAGCTTCATTAATTGTTGACTAGTTTATTTAATTTAGATCATATTCTGTCTCAACTGCCTTTTAAACGTAAAAATTGATTACTGCAAAATTTACTCCAAAGAAATTATTTTATCAGTATTAGTAAAACAGTTAAGCGTCTGTTTGCACATCAGAAGATGCTTAATTCAAGTCAACTTTCCAAAATATATATGAAAATTATCGCTGAATGGTCGGCTAATTGATTATTGAACAACATTTACATTTGTAATTATTCTACATAATTTTTCTTTAGAAATCTAATATAGCTATGCTCCGTATTTCATTTCATAAACATGTTTATTCTCAACATTTGCATGTGATCAACAAGTACATACGTAATCAATAATTACTTAAAATTTATTATTTCATATTTTATAATATTAACATGATAAAGCTATAAAATTATTCTTTTAAAAAGCAATATATTATTACGCCTTATGCAGAAATCCTTTGCCTTATTTGCAATTTATTATTATTGCGTCCTGAAAAGGAGAATTTCGAGGCCATTTCCAATGGGAATTCTTAAAGTAAATAGTAATATTCATGTCAATTTCCATTGATAAAATAAATTTAAATTCATCTAATAAGTATTCCAACATTTCCTTTCTTAATTAAACGTTCAAGTGAAATCCTAATTGTTATTAATGGTTATGAATTATATCATATTTGAAATATGGAATGAAGAAAATATTTTCTGTCAGTGCGCTATTAAACTGCTCATTATTATTCCGTTCTAATACATTTTAATAAATTATCTTCACCTTATAGGGCACTGTTGTCAAACTACAGAGTTGTATCCGCAACGACTAATCTCAGAGATGAAAATAGGATAAAACAATATGATTCCAGCGATTACTCAATTCACAGGGTAAGGCACATAACTCATATTTTGTTACATATTTATTTATGCCTTATGTAATTCAGGATAGATTCATAAAATTTTTCGTGAATAAGATTTATTAATAGGAAGTATTATAAACCGTATGATTTAGATGTGTTAAAAATAAGGTCAATTCCAGACATTTTTCGAGAAGAGCAAAATTAAAGAATAAATTTTTAATATACGTAGCGAGAGATCTTTCACCTCAATAGTTAAGAAAGCGACATATTTAATTTCATAAAGTAATTAAAAGTTTTATGTATTGTCAAAGGGCACCACAAATGAGAAATGGCATTTGTCGGGCCGCATGGAAGGTTAATATGATGGTAGCCTCTACCACTTCCTCCCCCCTGAAAAAAAAAAAAAAAAAAAAAAAAAAAAAAACGATAAATATAAAACACTGACTTTTATAACTTCAAAAAGAAACTTATCCTATAATTTCAGTGTTTTATATTGCACGGAACTATATTTAATATGAAAGTAAGTTTATTTATTGTATGTAGTACCAAATTACACAAAAAATTCATAAACCTTCATGGGCGCTGAAACAAGTGTATTGCAGTGGCAGGTGAACACATAGAGAAACAATGTATAAATCATTATTTGTATTCAATAAATGAAGTTTAGCTTACAAACTGCTATCTATATTTTCACGTTCCTCGTATTTCACACATGGAGGTAAGAAAGGAAGGAGGGGCCAACCCCGCATTACGAGTGAGTACAGCTCCGAGGTCTTCAGATGGGGTGCTTGTTTACATTCAGAAGCTTCCTTGACAGCGCTCTGATAGACACACGACAGTTCCATACAAATCGAAAAACGGAACACTTTCGCATAAAAGAAACATTCATTGTGTAATGGTTAATAGAAATTTGTATAGTTTAGTGACATTTAAGTAAAAATCACATCTTAGTTATTTTTCGATAAATTACAACAGCGGTTTTGATTATGAACTTGTTTTATAAAATTCTTGAACTACAGAAATATGGATTTTAGCAAAAACTTTATGCTTAAAGAAAGAAAAATACCTTATGGTACCTTTAAAATTGTATACTTCTTCCGATACTCTTGATAGAGTATTCGCTACTTTTATTTCATGTTCCAAACGCATAGTGAATGCAAAGAAATTAAAGATTTGCGCATGCCGAAAATGAAAAATATGAAATATGTATGGATATTTATGCAAATGCTTGCAAAAAGCATGTATCTGCCTTTAACAAAATACTTAAATATTTATTAAATTACTTATAAATATATTTGAAATGAAGGCTTTATTCATTCATAAACTCCTGTAAAAATTACTGTAAAGAAATCTAATTATTAAATGTATCTAAATTTATAATGATTATAAATATTATCTAAATATATAATAACCTTAACATTGAATTGTAAACATAAATTGAAATCCTGTTGACAATTACGTTTATAAAACTATTTAAGGAAGAATTGTTCGTACTAGAAAGCAATCTCTTAAACTATATTGTAAAGCAAATTCTATGAGATGCTTACTTGAGGAATTAATAAATAAGTGTTTTAGAATATGTATCGTTGAAATTAAGGCTAAAAAAATCTGATAAGTCTAATTAAAAGAATTCTTCCTTTACATTTTATAATAACTCAGTTACAAGTTTTAAATAATATAAAAAAAGTCCTTTTTTATTCCCTTTCAGAAATATTCAAAGAAAGTTAAGTACATGGAAATGAGCACCAATATTTAACGTATTTCACTATTAAAATAAAAGATTATCTAATTTGAAATGGACCGAATAAAGCATTAATTATAAATTGACTTGGAGTTTTCGATTTAAAAGATGCCTCAGAAGCTAAAAAAATCCTGTCATATTTGAGAAAGTATTTTAGGAAGAAGCTCTATAAATAGAAAAGAAATAATGCATAATTTTAATATTAATAATACAATAAACTTTGATCTTAATTTCTGTAATCCTTAACAGAATAAAATCGAATTACCTTAATTTTCTTCTCGTGTAATTAACGAAAACTTGTGAAAATATTTTTTCAAATTAAACCGTTCTGAGCAAACTGCTCTGTGTAAAGTATAGCATATAATTCCGTTCAGAATGAAATGTTGTTTAAAAATGTATTCTTTTCACATACTTAGGACTCTGAAATATTATAGAAAAGGAAAATGTATATATATATTAGATATATCTATATATATATATATATATATATATATATATATAATTATCGACGTAATTACAAACTATTTACATCCGACCGTGTCAAAACCCATTGATCCCTTAACGGTAAGTGACTGAATGTTTTGGTCACTACGAAGGGATCGCCAGTGCTTCAGAGCAGTGTATGGGGAAAACTGGTTAGAGTTCTCTCCTTCTTACGTCCTACCTTCATGATTTTACACTAAGGAATTGTTTGCTAATGATACTAACAGTGTCATATTACAAAAATATAATAAGTACCTGAAACTGAGTATAATAATTATCTAGATAATAAAAAAATAATCACTTACGTAAAGGGATCACCAAAAGTAATAATCATAATAACTGTTCAAAAAATCATGTTGGAATATAAAGGGACAAAGGAACAAATTATTTTCGTTTGGAGATTCGATGCGTTTTCTCGTGAGATTTAATTCGTGTACCTGAAAATTTTTCAGCTAAACTACACTTATTTGAATAACGCAGATTTTATGCAAAAGAACCAAATAAACAGAAGAAATCGTAAGACTAGGCGAATAGAAAAAATTAACCCATCTCCATTTATTCAAAAAAGCAGACTATTATTTTTTAATTTCTTTTTTGATCGATAGATGGCACTATGTTAATTTCATCTATATTTGGTCTCCCTTTTTTTATTTGCGTCCTGCAAGAAGCCAAATGACTAAGATCGTTAAATGCTAGAAGTTCAGCCTGTGTTCGATCTCAAGCGAACATATGGTTAGTTTTCGGGATTTTCCTCACATCTAACGTGAATACTAGCCAGGCTGCCTTAGAGTCCTCCCCGAAAGCACCCCTTTCCTTAAGTAGATATCCCTCGTGTGCTTTTCACGTATTCAAATAACCTAATCTAAAATCCTTTTTATTTGGCTCTTCGTTCTGCCTCAACTACAGTCCTCCTGGCTTCTGAAGAAGAGAGATCTGCTTAAGTCGCTTTCAAAACGGATGGACTTTAATTAAAATATATAGCAGTTTAACATAGGTTTCTCCTCTCTTACTCCCGAATTTCAGAGTACAAGTGAAAAATTTTATACCTGACTCTTTTTTTCCTAATCTGTGTCTGGCAAATTTCTTACAATAACCTGAAGTTCTTTAATGTTTAACTTGAAATATTTCATGAACATATAATTTTTCTTATGCATTTGAAGATCATGAATGAGCAGGATTCATGATTTTCAAATTAGTGTTTGGGCTGTAAAGTGCACGACACATTTTCTGGAAGTTGCCAGACTGAGGTTAAGGAATACGCTGTTAGTATCTCTGACGTCTGGTTTCTAAATTGTAGAAGGTCAAACATTTGAAAAAAACTGGCTTCATCGATGTAAAAGCCATTTATAGTTTACATTTTATGGAATAAGAAGAATGAAAAAAAAAAAGAGTTGGTAAATATTTCTTTGGCCGTATTGCATGATGCTACCTTTCAACGCAGAAGAATTAAACAACGATAAAAGATGCAGTTTAAGTCATCACTAAATTTCCTAACATATTTAACCTATGGTCTAATGCATTCAACATGTTGTCCAATATAGTGTAATAATTTTGACTGACCTTTTCATCCTATAAAAGTCGTTATTTATTATCTATTATTAATAAAAAATATTATACCTTTTATAAAAAAAAACTATTCCACATTCTATGCAAAGAAATTATTTATGCACAGAAAAATGCTGCCACTTTATATCAAACAAATTTTTTACTTTAAAAATTCGGAAATAAATCAGAATATTGTGTTAACAAGAAAAATAACTTAAAGATCTTTCAAATTAATTGAAATCAGTTAGATGACAGAATTTCCTTACCCTAATGATTGCTAATGAGAGAAGGATGTATAAAAGTTGCCATTAGTTAAGTAAGACTTTTGTCCTTTTAAAGAAGGAAGTTTTCTAGATTCCTACTATTTGCTAACAATTTTAGTCATGTTTATATTTTGAAAGAAGGACTCTTCTTTTTAGAAAATAGAAAATAGAATATAATTAATTGAAGTTCAAAAATGCTTATTAGATCTTACGAAGGTATTCTTTTATCCATAATATTTCAGCATATGGAACACAAAGAAATGTGCAGATAAAATTACAAGATCCATTATTTTCCTTAGGTAGTGGATGTGCATATTCACGATAACTACGACATGTTCCGGTTTCGAAATGATATTGCTCTTCTTCGAGTAGATCCACCCTTCCAATTTAGTCATAAAGTGCAAAGTATTTCTCTCCCTCCACCAGGATACCAAGCTCATGGTCACGCTTATGCATCTGGATGGGGACTTATGAAAGAAGGTAATTTTATATTGTTTGATACAAATTTCTTTTAAAAGAGTTTATATTCTCGAATTAGGATTAAAGTCTAATACATGTTTCATCATATAATAATGAAAAATCTTCTTTGACAATGTGAATGTTTTGAGCATTTTTTACGAAATATTTTTAGTTATTTTCATTCCTTTTAATTTCTTTTAGGCCCACCAGCGGCCTAGCGGTAAAGTCGCTGAACACTGGTAGTTCGGTCCGAGGTTCGAATCCCGCGAACGGGCTGGCTGCATGTGTAACGTGTATACGAGCCAGTTTCCCTTAGAAAGTCCTCCACGAAGGCATCCCTCCCCTTAGCCAGATAGCCCTAGTGTGCTTTGCCATAATTAAATACACACACATACACAAATAATTTCTTTCAACTTTAAATGCTTGTTAAGGATATTCTTTAATTTTATCTAGGCTATAATTCTGACATTGGATTTACTTGAACCTTTCCAGCGACTATTCTAGTTTATTCTTATTACTGCTTTTTGCATTAGTGTAACAATTGTATCTTTTTTAGCCCAAAAGCGACTGAGCAGTAAAGTCGCTGAACCTTAATAGTTCAAATCCTTGCTTACGCGAAAAATCTGCATGAAGTTTTCCGTGATTGTTTCCACATGTAGCATATATACGAGCCATTTTCCCTTAAAACGTCCTCCTCGAAATTCCCCCTTCCATCAGGCAGATAGTTCTCAAGTTGTTTTGCCTTAATCAAATAACCTAACCTGAGCTTTGTTTGCAAAAAGATGACTATACACAAGAATAGCAGTAATGAATTGCATTATAAATTTTACTACATCTTTCGTAATCCATAATTTCTGTCAGACTAGAGGAGAGGTACTTCTAACTATGCCACATCATGGCGGTTCAATCAGTAGTAATGGAAATTGGCAGTGAATTTAGAGTCACATTTAGTGTTTTTGTTTAATGTGTTATTGCGTTTGAAGAGAACTGAATGATTGAAGCTATTAAGAATGTTAAACTTTCTACATTAAAATAACAGCAGGGAATAATTTAGTGATGCTCTTAAATGCGATATTCCTGGATAAAAATCATGCATACTCAACTCGTAGAAAGCCTTTTTCTCTCCATAATCACAGAAATTATTTCTATTTTTGCAGGGGTTCGGGTGACACCAAGCAAGTTACAAGCAGTAACCTTGCCTATTGTGAGCGATTCAGAATGTCGAAAAGCATATGGTGATAATTTAGCACCCACAATGATCTGCGCGGGTTATAGAGAAGGGGGCAAAAGTGTATGTCAGGTAAGTAGCTTCTTTTATGATTGTGATATTTTTTTAAGATTCTATAATCTGTGAACTCATATTAAGCATACAGACTGTAAAATAATGTTCTAAAAATGACAATGACGTACGTTACAGGGTGATTCTGGAGGTCCTTTGTTCCAAAAGCATGGAGGTCAAACTGTTTTAATTGGTGTAGTATCCTGGGGTGTAGGTTGCGCCAGACCAGGAAAACCCGGAGTTTACACTGAAGTCTCACATTATATCGATTGGATTGAAGGCATTGCTGGTGGAGGTTTAAGAAGCAGAAATATTGTGCATTAAAAAATAACTGATTCCGTTTCGCTTGTTGGCAATGAGCCAGATTCATCACGGGATATCAGACGCACAAGAGCAGATAAACCAAGGATGAATGATAACTGAGATCCATGCTTCACTTAAGGTAAGCTGAGTCCGTCATATCCGTTGACGATGAAATCGTAAACTAATACTGTGGCCAACTTTGAGAACTTTGAGATATTAACTTATCGTACAATGAATTAATTTATATAAATTATTTGTTACAATGTTCTTTTATATTTTGAAATATGTGCTCTATATAAATATCATTTGATCATCAGAATTTGAAGAATTTGATCTGTCAAAATAGTCTGCCCTGCGAATATGTGATATATTTTTGAAGTAGATCAAAAAATGTGACTGCAATTGTAACTGAATCTGATCAAATGGCATTAACTTAAAATTCTCATGTCAGGAGCTCCATAACAAGTCAACCTGCTCTTTTGAGATTTAAATGTTAATTTTATTTGTAGAAATGAAAGAAATATGTCTGAAATTCATAGTTATTATAGTTTATGCATTACATGAAAGAAATATATTCGAGATTGATATTAATTCTAATTTATACGTGATCATTGAATTTCTATGATTAAGTTTTAATGTTGCAGCTTTTTATATGTTAATTACCAGTATCAGCAAATATGTTTGTTATGTAATTACAAGCGTCATTTAGGCAGTATGTCAACGTGAATGTTTACATATATTTACTTTATACTGACGCATAAAATATACATTATTTCAAATTTCAATTCTTCTGTTCTAAAGTTGGCTAAAATGCAAATAGGACATCAAGGACAAATATATTTATTTAATATGTAAACTTTAATAATGAAAGTGCCTTGAAAGTGATTTCAAGCAATGTAAAAATGAAATTTTCTCTCATAGAATGTAACAAAATGGAACAAGATAACATATCTGAAATTTCATGTTTTATTACTAAGTAAAACATACGAGAAATAACAATGAAAAGAGTTCTTAAATTCTTAAAGACAAATACGCACAGTAGTTTGAAATTGCTTAATTCAGGTTAAAATCAAATAAATACAAAATTATCTAACTAAATAAATGAAAAAAATAAAGTAAGAGAAGCAATAAAGGGAAACTGTTTTCTTGTTTAATCTGAAAATGTATTTTATTATTAACTCTATGAAATCAGTTTTCAGAAGCTTTAATATGATAGAAATTTGTATTGTAAATATTGAGGACGAATATATAACTAAAGTATTTGAAAAATAATAAGGATCTGTTGTTATCTTGTTCCGTTCTCCGATTCTATGCTACTTTTCCTAATAAGACACGATATTTAAATAAAGCCAACGCTTCTATTTCGTGTCAAAACGCCATTAATGTACAAAGAATGTTATGCATTGTTGACTGTATGAAATTATTTTATGTACATGTAGTTGTTCTTTATATCTGTGTTTTGTGTATAAAAATAAAGCATCTTTAAAAAAGACTTAGCTTTTATAAGGACTTTTGTTGAGTGTTATGTTGGCAATGGAGGTTTACATTTACTTGGTAGGAATATCCGTCTTACTCAGTGGAAAACCTGACTTAAATAGAACTAGCAGCGCAATTAAATGAAATGATATAGTTTCGCAGTCTAAGAAAGAGGTATTCTTTGCAGTGTTTTTGCACTGAATTTATTTACTTATTATGTTAGTACCGTAATTTCGTGATACTGTGACAATTCAATTAATTCGCTATACCGTAACTTCGCAATCGTGGTATACTTTGCGGAGTACGAAATGAAACAGTTAGATATAAACTAATATGGCAAGCGATTAACCGTATTTATGCCGCGTAAAACAGTTCATTGTAACTCTGTTTTTTTAAAGAGAAATTGATGCTTTGAGAGAACGTTGACATTCATGACGTAATGTAATTCATATTTTTCAATAAAATTCTAAAACACTGCTCATTTCAAAAGCTCATTGAGTTTTATAAGTAATATAGTTGGTTCGTTAGTAAGGCTTTTAAAAGTCGTATTTTTGTAAGAGGTGCAGATACCTTTTATGCAGAAATTTCAATAAACTTCGGAATTTCGTTTCGTTAGCAGATACAATTATCTTCTAACTTTATTATCTGTAGAGCTCATCAGCGGACGAGTAGTAAAATCGCAGAACACAGATAGTTCGTTCCGGGTTAAAATCCCGGCAATCGAGCTGGCTGCTTAGGCGTTTTTGTGGGTTTTCCCTGTGTAACGTGAATTAAAGTAAGTTTCCATTATAAAGTACTTCAAAGTACCCCTTTCATTAAGCAAACAGCCTTTGTGCGCTTTGCCATATTCAAACTAACCAAACTTTGATTTACTGGAAGAGTAGAAAACGTGACTACGTTTGATCATATCGTGCCATGATAGTACTATATTATGACTAGGTAAAGTGAGACAGTGTCACTGAAAAGTAAAATCTTCAAATTTAAGAACAATACGCCACACTATTTGCCTCTAAGTGCTTGCGATTTCGAAGGCTTCCACAGCGCGTGGCGATATAGCTCCACCGATGCTACTAGGATCCTTTCAGGAGGTATTTTTTCTGGATGCTCCTGCTTTAAACTATCGTTTTCTCCCCTTTTCCTGGGACGACAGCAAAGATGTCGTATTAAAACCACGTCTTTCTAGTTTCACGGCTTCCAAATCATTTTGGTATCGGTAATGGTGTAACTGTAACTTGCTGTAAGTTTAGTGTCATCTTGGCTATTAGAATACAATAGCAAGAGTAATGGTAACAATTTTAAAACAATATCATAATGAACTTAGACATTTTTTATGAAATAAAAATTCAATTTACTTCATACAAAATGGTATCACGCAATACTCTTTTTCCCCCCTTGGCCCACCAGCGGTAAAGTCGCTGCATACTGGTAATTCGGTCAAGCGAACGGGCTGGCGGCATGGTCGTTTACGTGGTTTTCCCCGTGCGTAACGTGTATACGAGCCAGTTTCTTTAGAAGGTTCTCCGCAAAGGCATCCTTTCCCTCAAGCAAATAGCCCTTGAGGCTTTGCCGTAATCAAATACTTCAAACCAAACCTTCTTCCCTCATATATCTGATATGGTGGATCGATTTTTTATAGTATTTGAACTTTTGATAAAACAAAAAGATCACTTACAAATCTTTGAACTTCGTGATATAAGTGACATTTTCTGAAAATCTTAAATTTTAATACAGATCCTAACTTCGATAAGCTGTTACTTTTCTGTCGAGGTTCCTTCAATTAAATATTAAAGTATTAGTGCTATATATTGTAATACTAACAATATTGTATATTTTATTATTACTATCGTTTGACTATATGATTTACTAAGAAATGAGTAGCTTAGAAAAAACGTATGCTACTTAATTATATAGTTTAAGATTAATGGCGTCACAAAACTAGCTGAAGCAAGGAGGCGTTGATCCTGAGAATCTTCTGGAAAGCCCTGGTTAAGATACAAACTCTCATGACAACCCTGCAGTCCTTCAGTCTAAAAACTACTTTTTAAGGCAATATTGCATCACTCTTAAATACCTTTAGATGTTAGAAATGTAATCTTATCTATTAATTGGTTACGGATTTTAGTAACATACTAAGTTGCTATCTACTGCGGATCTTGATAGCATACTAAGTTCTATCTAACTGGAATTATAAAATTAAACTCAATTTTGTTTAATCTGAAGCTAACCTAACCTTTAATCTTAAAAGAATAATTTTTATGCTGGACTTACTACAGTATTAGAAAACTAGATGAATGCAATAGAAGTAAAAGCAAAATGTATTGTGCATTCAGTGTGAAACAAAACTAAAGCTAACGAACATAAAGTGACTTCCGCGTCTCGCAGGACTACAACATAAAACATCCGACAACTTAAAATCCAAATTATTTCAGTTCACAAATTTAAATTCTGTTCTCGCATGAGGCTCAGTAACTTTCATGAACTGTTATTTAACACTCAGCAGCAAATAGAAGCTCACCAACTGCTAGCCAAATATCGTTCGCGCTGGAAACAACCCGAGTTCTGAAGTTGCCAGTCCTCATTCTCAGACTTAGATTCGTACTCATATTTGAAACTCTTTTTATTTACATATTGCGGAGAAGTAGACTAAATAATAGGAGCATAGAACAACTTTTGACATAAGCAAAAACGTGCGAATTTAAATAAATCGTAAAAAAGTAATGACCTGACAAAGGCTTTGGACTCACCGAATTCATTTAAATTTTGCATAATTATATAAAAGATAATTGTAAAGGTCCTTAAAATGAATTTGCTGTAAATTAATACGAGAGTCTTTCAACAATATGCAAGAGAACTGAGGCCAAAAGTCTAAGCAACGTTCGTGTAAGATTATCCGATTCTTGCAATCTCCGATGACATCGTTGGTAACGTACAAGGTTACAACTTAAAAATCTTCAATTCGATTCCAGTTGTTTGTATTTTTCTTTTTTTTTCTTCTTTACTCTATATTCAGTTTTGAACGATATTTTATTTGGTAATAAAAAATGTTTGCTTGAAAAGTTCTGTTAAGAATAGAACGTTAAGAATTAAATTTATTTTTAGTAACATGCTGCTGCCGCTCCATGCCGCCTATTGTAAATACTGTAAAAATTCCTAAATTTATTGTTTAGGCAGTTTTTTCTAGCACCTACAACTCTTCGTTAGATATCCTGTGACAGAGATTTAGGAAAGTTTTCGGAATATTATGAGTCATGCCGAATGAGATAATGAATGCGTGCCGAATTTTCACCTTCCCCACTTTTGGCTAGCAAGGAATAGCTTCCTTCGCAACTTTCTTTCTATATATAGTTCTACAAATGTCCCCCAGACTGTAATGCGGGGACAATAATTTATTTCTACCTGGATGTAGCAACAGGGTCTCCTCCCTTCCCATTGAGTGCCCTTCAAGGAGGAAGAATATAAGGAACTAGCGTCTTCTTCCCTTCGTCGTGTAATTGGTAGCAGGTCCGCTTGGCAGTTGGAGGATGCGGAGTTCGAATCCCCGTCAAGATATAATAGGTTTTCTTCCAATGCTTTCTCCGAAAAAATTGTAATATATTCTACAGATGTCAATGAAATGTGTTGTTCTATTTAAATTTTAAGGATGTCCCCCTAGCCCCCAAAATAAAAATAAATTACAAAATATTTAATGATTGTCTTGTGCCCAAATACTTTACGGTTTGAATATAGCATGTAAAATGTATCTATCGCTTGTAAATAAATTTGTGGAAAATTACAATAATTAGAGCAAAGTAAATGTATAAAATTCTTTTCGCGAATTTCTTATATTATATTAGCTTTCGTGGTATTCTCCTTAGCATTTTTAAGCTATAAATTTTCTTCTGGAGTGCGAGAAAAATAAAGTTAGATAAAATATATATCCTTCTAGTACAAAAAGTAGAGTATTTAAAAAGAAATAACGAAATGTTATTTTCACGTTTGTGTTCTACACCGTTTTTCAGGAACAAATTTTCTTACAAAATAAATTTGAATTAAATCCTAATTAGGAAAGTGCAACTACCGAACCTTAGCAGTATCGAGTTTGAACTGAGAACATGAAAGCGATAGAGTCATACCTTACTATTACGTCATCCAAGGTGTCAACATGTGGAAGGACTTAAAAAATATACATGTTACTTAAAACATTTTAGATTCGATTTCCTAGTTTATTTCTGAAAGAGGTGCGTTAAATGCTTGCAGACGTGTGAATTTCAACGTCCTCTAAAAATATAACACCCTTGGGCAAAATCGGTAAATTCTAGGTCGTGCGCTTCATTTGTGGCAGCAGTTATCTCTAAATAGTATTTTCAGTTCAATGTTTAAATGTTTTAATTATTTAAAATTCTACTACTTCTGCTGCTACCTAAATTTTACAAACATCTTTATATTCTGGTTTAGAATACAATTTACTTGTAGAATAAAAGAAAAATTTAACTTATTATGATACTTTGAATACGGCATTTTTATATATTAACATTTGGCGTTACAAAACTGCTCTGAGATATTAACTTGCATATTTTTATGAAAATTGCGTGGACTTAAAACTTTGTGTGAAGAATCAGAAGCAGAAAGCAGACAGAAAGGAGGAGAAAATATTTTATGAAGTAATAATCATTTAAAAACTTAAGATTAGTAGCTTAATATCATTTAAAAATTTAATATTTAAAAATGAAATGTTAGTAGATAAAGCAGAATATGTGCAAAACCTTTTTATTTCTAGCCAAACGTTCGGTTCGCCTTCGGTTTTCCTATTTCTCGATGAACACATTGGAAAAACCTTGCAATAGTTTCAAACTGTAAACAACAAGGGATGATTTTGTAAATTAAGAATAACTGTAAAAATTTAGTTAAGAGAAACCAATTTAACCAAGCATTCAAACACAAAGGCTTGCGTACTTTTAGACTTAAGGAATTACAAAGTTCTGTCCAATATTTTTGCTATTTTCGCTCATTTTTTTAAGTTTAATATTTTTATTAA